AGGTCTTTAGCTATTTATAGATTATAAGCGCAAACGATATTTGAACACAACTGTCGTGTCGTATATATCGGCGAACAATCTCTAACGCTATCAACAATTTTTGAACAAAAGAGTATTTCATTTGAAAAAATGCTTTTCACTGAATTAATGACAACTTTAGCGGATATTCTTCCCTATTATTCTGATATTTGGGTTAATATTTTACAAAATTATTATTATTTTGGTATTTCTTGTATTTTATATTATTTTGCAATTATTTTTTGCACATCACATAACATATTAATTTTATATAGATTTTATATATATTTTCTTATCTTGTTTTTAAATTTTAAATAAAACTTTTAAATATTGATTATATTATTGTATATTTTCCAAAACAAAATATAATAAAATATTCATATTATAAATGAACAATTAATTACTTTAATTTATAGTTAAAACTCGTAATCCCTATATAATAATTACAATAATTATTTCAAATTATATTTATTTACTGATTTAAGCACAAAAAATCATTAATATTTTTAAAGTGGATAACGAGAACTTTGAACAAGTTTTTAAAATAATGCCAACAAAATAAAACAAACAAAATTCAACAAAAAATCCAAAATAAGTTCATGTAATGATAAAAATTTCATGCAATAATCAAATGGTTGGGAATTTATACGAATAAATACAGCGATTATTGAAAGCAACAAATCATATGTGGAGTCGGAGTTTGAATGTGATTTGTTTTCATCTCTACGTTGGCTTACTTTCAACGGAGAGTCGAGCGGACGTCCGGTTCTGTCCGACGGGAGTCGACGCCACGCACTCGTAGAGGCCTTCGTCCTCAGCATAGGTTTGTCGTATAACAAGCGAACACGAGGCCGAGTCCTGAGACATCTGACACACCATACCATCCCATACAACACATACACCAAAACGGCCGCCGATTGTACGAATTATACAGTGTTATCAATTATAAGAGTAATGTATATCAAACATGTGTGACATTTACCTGAAAATCACGGGTGGCCTCAACGAAGTGCCCGTCGCGATACCAACTGATCTTCGGTGTGGGAGAGCCCGACAGTGCGGTTACAAACCGGGCCGGAGAGCCCTCCGCCACAGTCAGATCAGTCAATGGTGTCATTTGTGGTGCCGTTTCTTTGTCTTCTATACAGATATCCGATAAAATACTTATTAATTTAATGCGAAATAAATTGTTAAATATATTTTTAATTATTCAACGTTTGTTTGTTTGAAAACTTTTATAGTAATTAATGGTTTGATTTGATTACCGATTACTCTGAGTTTGGCAGAAGTGGATACTTTTCCAGCAATACATTTATACATTCCCTCGTCTTCGGCGAACGCTTCCGATATCCTCAATGTGTGGTAATCTCCGTCTTCAGTCATCCGGAAATAGCGGCTCTGTTTGATGTGTTCGCCCTCTCGAAGCCAAACCACTTCCGACACTACAGTATAGCATACATACCATTAAAGCGAACGATAAAAACATTCATTTCAGTCAATATTTCATTTGATAATATTTTATTTAATAAGATTTGATTATTTACAAGACGTTCCGCTTATTCGACATTTGAAAAGAGCGGACTGTCCTTCTTTCACAACCACGTCGTGCAGCGGTTCCAGTAGTTTGGGTACCATTTCTTCTTTGGACATTTGCCGGATAATGACCTGCTCTTCGATGAGCACCTGAGCGATACAGTGGGCCTCTCCCGCCTTATTAATGGCCGCGCATTCATAAGAGCCGCCGTCACTGGTCTCGGCCTCAATGATAAGTAGTGTGTAGTACTGGTCGTCGTCCTCAACCATCTTATGTCTCTTTGTTTGTTGAATCCTTTCGCCATTCTTTAGCCAATACACGTCCATTGGTTTAGAGCCGCTAATCTTGGCGTCCAATCGGATCAATTGACCCACTTTTGTGGTCACGCATTGGATTGTCTTCACAAAACACGGAGGAATGAAATCTCCGCTTTTGATTTCCCGGTGCTCTGAATTATGTACAAAATAAGCGTTTAAATTGTTGCTAAATATTTCATAAATACCTTCAACAATCAAATTTGCTGAGCATTTGGCAGAACCGCCCCTATTCTCGGCTTTAACGCTGAATATACCCGAGTCCTCGACGTATACCTCACGGATCACAAGAACT